CTTTAGTAATTTTGCCACCTTTTTCATGTATTTAATTCACATATATACTTAGTTATCCTTCTGTCTTAGTTATATTTAAGTAAGCAAATATAATAAATACTAAATGTGGCCTAGTAATATCTGTTTAAATCATATATTTCAATGCATTTTAACTTCTACTTAAGCAATTTGTTCCTTAGTACACTTTCTATTCATTTAGTTTTTTAAAATTTTGGGGGTGACATTGGTTTTTATGTGATAGAGAAATAAACTATCTTTTTAAAAAATCCACTGTAGTTTTTTCCTGTATCTGCAGCTTAGATTTACTCAAATACCAGCATTTATCACAAAATCACTTACATTTTCCACATGTATTTCAGTTGTATATTTAAAAATGACTTCTTAAACAAGACTGTGTATTTTAGCAATTTAGGATTCAGTAGAGTCTATTTTGCTTATTCTCAGTTATTGTGTTTAACGATCTCAACAGACGCTACAACGCAGAGAAAAGAGAAGAGCAGATGGCCCAGAGAAAGAATCGGAGCAAATCTGGCACTCATTGTTACAATCATTGCCACGGCTTTTGTTTTTAAATGAGAAAAATCATTATAGTTAGTTTTTGGCAATTTTTCTATGCACTCAGGTAAACTGGGGGATGTTGAGATGAGGATTAGGAGGAAATCCTCTCACCCTTGCCTACTTCTTGTGCCATTAACTGATGAGGCCACCTGAACATTGCGTGTGGGATAATTAAATGAGGACTACGTATCCAATTGACTACTACACCTCCTACTCAAGCCCTGACTACCCAGGGGCAATCTGGGCACGTGCCACATGGGACAGGTGTTTAAATAAACGTCTAGGCCCCAAATGGAGATTCTTCTGCCCAAGGTGTTACACCAGCAAATGGAAACTTGGAAAACCTCATGTCCCTGTAAATGTTCCACTTGACCAGAAATGCAGTATATCAGTTATCCCATCCCCAAAACATGAAGCCAACTCAGGACTCTATACTTAGTTTCTTGTTCCTTATTTATTTTCTGTTTTCTCTTCTTTGTTCCATTTTCTTTCTCCTATAAAAGTTTCCCGACTTCTACCCCATTGTGCAGCTCTCTGGGCCCTTGGGAACAGAGCCTGTGTGCTTCATGAAGTGGTAACTAATGTTTGTTTGTATCGCCCACATTGTCTCCTTTATTTTAGCATGGGCTATCTTAATTTTTGGTAGTTTGTGGGTTTCTTAATTCTTTTTAAATCCTCCTCAAATGTTTACAGTCCTGAGATCAAAATTATACAGTAACACCTTAGTTAATCAGTTTGCTTGTATGAGAAGTAGTCCTGTTACAGAACAGATGCGGGGGGCTGAATGATTTAAAAGACCCCCCTTTTTTCTCTGGGGGCTCCTCCCCCATACTAGGTTTGCTTTGCCTGCCATCAGAGAAAAGACATCTCTCAATGCCAGAGATTGGTGGAAAGGAAAGGGATTATTATTTATTTAAAAGTTACACAGGCTAAAGTTCTTTCAAATACCCAAAAATGCACACAGTCGTTTCTTCTCCCTCTGCACAGTCTGGGGTGCTGTGTCTCAGGAAACAGGTAGAAGTCCATGATTCAGGCTCCCGGCACCATCTGTATGGCAAAAAAGAGAGCACTTCCAAAGCCGCATGGTCCCCCAAAAGATGCCAAATGGCTGCCTCCCTGGGTTTAAATCCCAGTGCCAGTCTTCCCCTGCAGCCTCATTTCCAGCTCCTCCCACAACTGGCCCCAGCTGCCAGCATTCCAGGCAGGTGTGGCCCTGTGGTGTGGAGCCAATTATCTCCAAGCTCTTTTGGATCCCATTATGAATCCCTATTTGCCACCGCACCCTTGGCTGCACCCTGTTACAGTCCTGTTAACTAGAGTTTGATAAAATAAAACATTGTTTTCTTTTCAAAAATTGTCACTGAAAAATATCTAGAGGTGTATCGGTGAATCAGCATTTTCATACAGAACCTAGTGTCAGTGAGCCTCACTGTGAAACCACCTGCAGTGGCAGGGGTCTCCCCACCGCGCTTCCCCATAAGCAACTTACCCCAAGAGAAAAGACCACCAAGGAGCCAAGGCCAACGTCCGAAGAGAAGACTGTTTCTGAGTACAGTTCTCAAGGCTGCCCTTCAGTGCAGTCGTCGTGACCTCACACCTGAGTCCGACAGCAAGGGAATTGCAATAAAGATAGAACAAAAAGAGAAAAAGATCTTAGAAATGTCAAGCATACATTTGAGCTTCAAACATGAGATGGTGCGAGCAGCATGGACATCAGCACCCTTCACACAGGGCACCCACGGGTGCTGTCTGAACAGCAGTGGACATCAGTGTTGATGAGGGCCACCTTAAGATTTTAGAGGCCCTGAGACTGAAGAGATTATGATTCTCCCATGTGGACAACCAATAATAATAATAATAATAATAATAATAATAATAATAATAATAATAATAAAATTCTTCCAGATGGTTAAATAAATGTTCAAAAAATTAAAATTATGATTTTACTATAATCATAAACCTAAATCAATGAATTTTTTGAATAGCAAATAAATTTATCCAATCTTTTTTGATGCCTATCTGTTTTAAGTGTCCTAACCATATGCGCACCCTGCCTTAGGTTATCCAGGCTGGCTTTCATAATGGTCTGTTTGGAGGAGAGAGGCAAGGGCATTACCAACCACTCTTGGCACAGATACCATCTTGCTGACCACAAAATCCCCTGAGACACAGGAGGCACCAACAGAGACAGGAAGCACAGCCAGGGCAAGCAGAAGCGGGAACAAAGCATGGCAGGTACCACAGGTAGTCAAGAGTGCTAGTTTATTCAGTACACTGGGAACCTGCTCGAGTTCTCCCAAACCGTTCAGGAGGAATTCTTGAGCAGTGGTTCACAGAAGAGAAGAAAATGCACTTATACTAATAATTGTGATTCAGTTTTTATTTTCAGGTTGATATAATCTGGCTTTGTGTGTGTACATGTATATAAAATATGTGTGTGACAGAAGATAAAAAATACTGCAAATAATCGAATCTTGGTGATTCAAAGTTTCGAGGTATCATAATCATAAATCTATGAACATTGCTTGTGTTATAAATTAGCATAGAAGTATAATAGAATATGGAAGTAATTGGAGTTCACATATTAAAAGCCATAACAGCTCTGAAAATTATTTTCTGTTATATTCAATTTTCTGCCATTTCATATTTATTCTTATTGTTCAGGGCATGTATTAAAAGTTCAATTCAATTCAACAAGCATGTGTTGAGTGCTTCCAATATGTCGGGAACAAGGCAAAGTGTGGGATACAGAGGTGGTGAACACAGAATCCCTGTCTTTGAAAGCCTTACACTGAGAATATACACCAAAAATGTATAAATAGAGACAATGATTAGAGACAGTATGATTATATTCCAACATATATAACAGAGAAAATATAAGTGGCAGGCAAGAAGTGGCAGCATGTAGAAAGAATACTTAATTTAGTTGGTGGAAGTGGCGTTACGATGAGAAAAACGTTTCTAAAAGGATTAGTGATTGATCTGTATCAATCGCTACAGGGGGAAGGATAGAAGTCAGACAGGCAGTTAAGTAGGGGGTGGAACATTAGGGTTATAACAAAATCACAAGACATTTGGCCTCACTAGAGACTGTGTGTGCATTGTTGTGTGGACGGACCTTTGGTGGGGTAAGTCTGGAAGGGTAAGAGTTTGAACTTAATCCTGAAGGTATGAGGAGTTGCTAAGAAAGCCAATGAGTAGCATAATAGAATTTGCATGTTAAAAATTCATCTGGCAGCTGTTTGAGAGATAGACTGAAAGTGATAATCTAGAACAACCAGAGAAGACTAAGTGAGAAATGAGAAGAGTTTCAACTAAGGCTCTGGTATGGAAGTAGAAACAGAAGTAAGTATTTTAGAGGTGATGTGTGGTGAAAAGGTGGAAGGAAATTAAGATGATACTAATTTTTTTCTGATAACTGGTGGTTCCACTACCTGAGACAAGAAAAACTAAAAGAAAAAGCAATTTGGGGTTGTGTGCAAGGTGGAGGCTGGTAGTAGCAATTATGGAAGGTAGGTTTGCAGTGCTTGTGTGAGGTCCAAGTGGAGATTCAAAGAGACATTTCAAAACAGAGCTTTAAAGACAAGAAGTCTAGCATACAGAGAGATATGTTATAATGGATCTTATTGCCTATCAGGTAGATCATCTTACATACTGGATTCAGTCATCTTTTATCAAAATGTAACATTTTCTTACTCCTTGTTCTATTGAGCATGACACACTTTATCACACTTTTATGAGTAAGAACCAAGTAAATGGGATCATAATAAAAGATGTCTTAGAAGTCAAAAATGCAAAGACAATGGCTGAGAATAAATCCTCTACTAGCTATATTTAAAAACAATACTTGCTTAAAAGAGATAGTTTTAATTATTTATTCATTCCTCAGATTGCTGAAAGACAGTGTAAAATTTAGGTTAGAGGCACATTTTCTGGAATGCACTGAATATTTAATTCTCTGTTCTGCCTCTTGGGGCTGTGTGATTTTTTAAAAAATTATTTTTCATTGCCATTCAAGTACAGCTGTCTCCATTTTCCCCTCAACATGTGCCCTTCCCCTGCTTCCCGCTCTTGAACCTGCCCCCTTTGGCTTTGTCCACGTGTCCTTTGTCCATGTTCCTTGATAGCCCTTCCCCTATTCCCCCCTTTATTCCTCTGCCCCTTCCCCTTTGGTTACTGTCAGTTTGTTCTTTATTTCAATGTCTCCGGTTATATTTTGCTTGCTTGTTTGTTATGTTGATTAGGTTCCACTTACAAGTGAGATCATATTGTATTTGTCTTTCTCCACCTGGCTTATTTCACTGAGGATAATGTTTTCCAGTTCTATCCAGTGCCATCTCAAAGGGCAGGAGCTCCTTCTTTCTTACTGCCACATAGTATTCCATTGTGTAAATGTACCATGGTTTTTTTTTATCCACTCATTTATTGATGGGCACTTAGGTAAAAATATGGAACGCTTCACCAGTCTGCATGTCATCCTTGCACAGGGGCCATGCTAATCTCTGTATCATTCTAATTTCAGTGTACGTGCTGCCGATGTGAAAGCTGGGCTCTGTGATCTTAAACAACCGCCTTATGCTCTCTGTACTTCAACCACCTCATGAGGACAATTAAAGTGATAACTTCAGGATAACATACCATATGGGATTTCTGTAAAAATTAAATAAGATACTATGGGTTAAGCATTTAAAAGAGAGCAAGTATATAGAAAGTGTTCAATAAGCATTATCTGTTACGATCCCCAATGAACAGTAGCTTTTGTTATTCTTCTGACATAAACCTACCTATAATGGGAAAGAATGGTCTCTAACTTCTTTTCACTCATACATCTTTATCAAGTGAACCCAAAGTTGGTACATGACCTAAGTAGAAATTGTGTTCATTTCAAAAGGGGTTTGATGCAAGATGAATATGTAGATTTTTTTAGGGAAATTCAGATATTTTTCTGCATTAAGAAAAATAAAACCAGATTCAATCTTTTAAAAATATATATTCAATTTGGGAGAAAATTGAACTGTTTGGCATCATCTGCAGTAATCAACCAGCTAATAGTTTCAGTTTTTCCTTATAACATAGAAGCAATCCCAGTCTTACCAAACCAACTGCGTGAAGGACAAAAAGAAGAGATCATAAAAGTTTGAAACAAAAACACATGCAATTAATAAGCTTTAATTGTTGAAAACGGAGGGTCATATTAGTTCTTGAGCTTTCTTGTGATGGATTCCAAAGCAGAGGATGTTCGCTCCCCAAAGCAGAAGAGAGTCAGCTCCCTATGTGTGCAGGAGAGGGTGTGAGAGATGCAGTATAGGAGGGAGGGAATGGAAATTTCAGAAAACGAAGGGATTAAAAAATAAAGGGCACCAAACAAAAGTTTCAAGTCAAACACAGAAACAATCACCCCGGGCCCTCTTCCCACCCCAAACCCCTATCCATGTTTCTTGTGTTAAAGGACAGAAAGCAGAGCTGTGGGGTCATTCTGAAGGTGCAGAGTCCCCTCCTCTGTGAGGCCCACTTCAGCTCCTGGACTATAAAATGAACTCATTCTTTCTCCTAACTTTCTAGATAATTATATGCCTTCCTCTGAATAGTCAACAAAATTTGAAAAGCTTTGTTGGTGTCTCACATCATCATTTTCTTGAAAGAAGCACTGTTGGACATTGTGTGCATTAGCAGGCCACAGAGCAGTGCCTCACACCACTCCTTCTCCTCCTGATGTATGTAGCCTGTGTTTGGTAGAGCCACTCCTGACTGAAGCTTCACTTAGGGAAAAAAAAGGAAGATAAAAGTGATGAGGTACCATGAGGAGGATATGGCAGGATAAAATCAGAAGAGGACACCAAAAGCCTATTTCAATCTACTCAGTATAGCTTCCTATACAATGCACAACAACTAGAGACATCTTTTGGAGAAAACAGCAGAAAAACAACCAAAAAAATCCCACCATATAGTACATTTTGCTCCTAGGAAACCACCCACACTTCTCAATTTGGAAACATATCCTTAGGGTATTTTTGCCAGAAATAATTTATCCTTCTTCATGCTCACATGTTCAAAGAAATCTTTCTCATTTCCCTTCATTTTTAGAGGCACATTTATACTTATGAAACATACCCCTGGCTTAGCCTGCATTTCAATTCATTTTTTTCCATTGGCAAAATACAAGCTCAGTATTATCTTTGGCCTCATGGAAAATTGGCTATGTAGAGTCCAAGAGCGTTGGCTAAAAATGACTTCCACACAGTGACAGCCTTGGCTGCCGGGTTGCTATGACCTCACGATGACTAGCATGTTCTAATTCAGAGTCCAAACTCCTGGGAGATATAATAGATTAGAAAGAGCTAAGGTCAAGCATCCATCTCTAGTCTATCCACCTATGGTCAGGCTTTGGGTGGGCTAAAAGTGGGAAGAGTAAGGCTACATATGAAAGATATGGCAGCTGTCAAGGAAATGTGGCCATGGGCCTTTGGAGAGGAAACCTCCAAAATCATCTACTACAGGATCTAACCAGGGTTAATTCATCAACAGGATTAAAAAGAATCAGGCAGCCCTGGCTGGTGTGTCTCAGTGAATGAGCACCAGACTGTGAACCAAAGGGTCATTGATTCAATTCCCAGTCTGGGCATATGTCTGGGTTTCAGGCCAGGTTCCCAGTAGGGGGCACTCCAGAGGCAACCACACATTGATGTTTCTCTTCCTCTCTTTCTCATTCCTTTCCCCTAAAACTAAATAAATAAAAATCTTTTTTAAAAAAAGAATCAGGCAGCTAAATTGTTTGGAAGAGATATACTTGGGATGTGATTTTTTATCTTTTTTAAAGCATTGTTGAATTGCTCTCCAGGCTTGAGGACACAATATTGTGACAATGAAAAAAACAAAAAAACAAACAGAAAACCCAGAACTACCTTATCTCAAGGACAGGCTAGAGAGCTTGTTCTTCATTAAAGGTCAAGAAAAGGCAGAATAGCTTACATGACATCATTCCTCTCACAAAACCACTGAAACAGAACAATGACAATTTCAAATAACGATGTTCTTTTGCTGAGTTTTGCTGTACTTTTCAAAGCATGGTGCACATGTGGGCACAGCAAGATCCCATGGTAAGTCTTCTAATACCAATCATTCTCAGCCAAGAGGCAATGCATATAAGATACTACTAAAATTTTTTACGGTCCCAAGTGCTCTATTCTTAATGGCAGGTTTATTGTAATAATAGCACATATTTTATTTTTAATAAAGGTGCTTGCTACATTGTTAGTTGCAATATTATCTTCTATTAAGTAATAGTAACTATAAAAAAGAAAAAGGAGAAAAGGAAAATTGTATTCTTAACATTTAATTTTTAAATGAAAATTCTCAGCATGTAACAATATGTAATAATATAAACAAACTTATTTTAAAATTTATATTGAAAGTTACAGACCTAGCACAACTAATTCATTCTTGAAAAAGAAGAATAAAATTGAAGGAATATCTGTATCTTATATTCGAGGCTTATAATATAGCTACATTAATCAGTGCAGTGTGATATTGGTGAGGAGATAGACATCTAGATAGATGAAACAGGACAGAGAGCCCATAAATGAGCCCATGCAGACATGCCCAACTTATCTTTGAAAAAGGTAATTCAGTGGAGAAAGGAGAGTAAAAAAAAAAGGACATCAATTGAAACCTCACACTTTATTAAAAAAACTAACTCAAAATAGATAATGGATATTTAATATAAAATGTAAAACTATAAATCATTTGGGGAAAATATAAGATAAAGTCTTCAAATTCCAGGCAAAGAACTCTTGGACGTGTCACCAAAAGAACAATCTATGAAAGGAAGAATTGTTATGCTGGAGCTCATCAAACATGAATACGTTTGCTCTGCAAAAGACCCTCCTAAGAGGATGAAAAAGATAAACTACAGACTGAAAAAAATATTTGCAGATCCCATATCTGACAAAGGACTAATATGCAGAATAATGTAGAAAGAACTCTCAAAAGTCAACAGTATAAAAAATAAATAATCCAATTAGAAAATGGGCAAAAGACATGAACAGATGTTCTGCCAAAGAAGATAGACAGATGGAAAATAATCATGTGAAAAGATGTTCAACTTCATTAGCCATTAGAAAAATGCAAATTAAAACCATGATATGATAATTACTACACTTGTATCAGGATAGCAAAAATAAAAACAGTGACACCAACTGCTGGCGAGCATGAAGAGAAACTGGATCACTCATACACTGCCGATGTAAATGGAATATGGTACAGCCAGTCTAGAAAACAGTTTGGCAGTTTCTTATAAAACTAAATGTGTAATTACTATGCCATCCTCCATTTGAACTCGGGCATTTGTTCCAGAAAAATGGAAATTTTTGTTCATGTGAAAACCCTATACACAGACGTTTACATCAACTTTATTAATAATAACCTCAAACAGGAAACAACTCATCCTAAAACAGATGAAGGGTTAAACAAACTGGAATGTTTCATACTAGAAAATACTACTCTGTACTAACATTTAATGAACCATTGATACATAAAACTTCCTGGATGAATCTTTGGGAAATTATATTGAGTAAGAAAAGAAATACTACTTTCTACTAAGGGAGCAAGCTTGGGTGTCTTTGGAGAGGAATTTCAAGGTCCTGAGTAACCATGGAGTGATACAGAAGGATGGACATGAACTCCATATGGGCATGGCCTTTTGCTTGTAGACCTCTTGCACAATGGGTGCAGCATGGCTGGGAGAGTTCTCATTATCAAGGGCAAAACTTGTAATCAACCAACTGCCAACAGCTGAAGGGAATGAGTGCTTGAGTCCTGCAGGAGAGAGCATGCACAGCAAGAACAGATCAATACCAACATCTCTGAATTGTGTTTTCAGTGACTGAGAAACCAGGCTTCGTGCCTAATATTCACACCTAGGAGAGCCATGGCAAGATACCATTACTAATAAAAATATCCTTAGTGGAAAATAAACAATTCCTGAAAATCTGTAAGAGTTAAACAGACTTCAGAATAGAAATCTGAGGCACTATGCATCTTTGTTTAGAAACTTGCTATTTGGATTCATCGGTCTAGGTATGGAATAATAATCTGGGTATATGGCTAGAGTATTTACATATGCCCTATGTAAGAGGTGATTTGTATTAGAGGTCTGGAACAAAATTTACAAATCTCATAGTAAGGTCAAGAAGAGGTTAATTTAAAAGAGTGAGTGGATATATTCAATCCACTGCATATGGATGCCTAGCCTCACATTCAAAAGCTAAAATCAGTGAAAAGGAGAAAAACACTCTCTTCTGAATGGAAACAAATAAGTTGTAAATGATAGACATCCATTAGTACTCTGTTTAATGAGCCTTCTTTTTTAACTGTAATTAAGGTAGAGTGTCTTTCTTCTCCAAATGATTCAAACAAAGCAGAAAAGACCAAGACCATGGATAAACATTAAGTAGTCCCAGAAGGGAAAACTAGTATCAAGCAAGCCAACCTCCTTAATTAATATCATGAGATTGGAGACTCCACTGAGATTTCTGAAAACAGCTATGG